AAATTTTTTTTTTAAACCGAAAATAAATAAAAAAAATTGAATTAATTTTAACCCAGACCCAGGCCCACACCCGACCCGGCCGGCCGGTCGGTCGGACGGACGGCGGCGGCGGCGCGCGCGCGTGTGGCCTTTGGACTAGTCTAGACATTGTCTAAGACTCCCCCCTTTCAAAGACTATTGGTACCCCTTGGGGCCCAAACCAAGGATTATCCTACTTTTTTTTTTTTTTTTTTGATACCCAAGTCTCCCAGCTTCGTCAGACTAATTCCTGAACCTCAAGCCTCCGGCTCCTCATTAGCTTGAGGAAGTTAATCGCGTGTTTCCCAGTTTCGTCAGACTAATTCCTGAACCTCAAGCCTCCGGCCCCTCATTAGCTTGAGGAAGTTAATCGCGTGTTGTGCTCTTGTTGGCTCCCAGGTTCCTGCATGACTTATACCCCTTCCCCTAAAAGAGCTCTCTTCACTGCCTTCCAGCACCTTGCCTTCGAGATAAATCCCCCTTCCAAATGCTTCCTTCCAGGAATCGAATTCTCCACGTTAGGTTTGTGAGCCCACAAATACAATTGTTCCACCAAATCGGATGTGCCCCGGGGGGCAAGGATTATCCTACTTGTATATGAAAATGGTACATAAATGATTTGAAGAGAAAAAATTGGATGAAAAAATTAATTATAATTTAAATTAAAAAGTGATAGAGTGAAATGTAACATTATGTTATTCATCTTTAAATTATTTTATCAATTTTATTTTTCCAATAATGTCCATCTTTTGAAAATTTTGATAAATATGTCATTTTCTTGGAATTGTCATCAAATTTATAGTACCAATTATGAATCATTTTCATTAAATTAGGCTAAATTGAAGAGTTTTTAGTCGATATAAATACTATTTCTCTTCCTTTTTGCACAACTTTTGAATCACGTATTTCAAAGTCAACAATAAATTTTAATAACACTTTTATAAGACTAACAATTTTTCAACTAAAAAAATTTATTAACTTTCATCAAAATCTATTAAAAATATGATTTTAATCCCCATAAAACATGGGATTTAGATTAAAATTTGGATTTTAATTTTTACCAAATACGGACTTAAAAAAAATAAAATTGCAGGATGAATATAATTTTGACAAAAAGTGTAAAAAAGAAAAAGGAAAATTTAGTACATGGTTATTGATAAGTCTCTAATTAAAAAAAAAATTTGTAGAATTGTATGAAGCTAAGTTTCCCTTCTTGACTTAGTAGTACCCAAAAATTTGAAACGGGTTATATCTCTAATAGGCATGTATAAATATTTTAGGTTTGAATTTTGCTAAAATAACCGGGAGGCTGACAACCTCTTGACCGAACCACACAACTGGGGGGTCCCTTTTTTTTTGTGGGCCACCCTATTTTTGTGTCGATCTAGGAGATCGTCAGTATAAATATTATGCCCTAAATTCAATCAACTTTGGACATAAGTACTTTTAATGGATAATTGATATAATTTTATGGAAGATTTATTATTTAATTAATATTCAATTAAATTAAATAATAGAGTCCATAGATTGAAAAGTTAGTGATTTGTTAATTACAAGGAGTTTGTGATTGTGATATATAAATTACATATGATTGAATCTTAAATTATTTGTGGTCGTCAGTGATAAAGAAATATAGATATCGTTATTATCAATAGATCATCACATGTAGCATTTTTTACTTATGAAGTAAGTAGCTGATTTCACAAGCTAAAAGTGTGGTAACATTTAGAATATGTGGATGTTTTGTTATAGAACAAAATATTGGAGACCCATGGGAGATTCCACGTGGATATCTATCAGAGTGTTAGTGGTTAATCTTTAACGTATGCTAGTGGAATCGATCCTTTGGATTGAGATCATTATAGTGCCTTATATGAGGCGGTCATACTTTAGTAATGTTGGATGTTGTTTTGCCAAGAACTGCTAATATGACATCGTTCGAATATGTCAAGAATCATATGAAAGTTGTAAATGATCAATAGATGATTCATCACTCTCAGATAATAAGAGATTATAATCTACATTTCATTTAGTTAAGTTAATAATGAAATCTTTGGCCAAGATGTATTCATAAATCGAAAAGGAGTTTTTGATTTGTAATGATTCAATAGTGGAATGAATGATATGATCGATGATTGAGATTGATACTTATTCATATCTCGTAATTAATCGAATTATATTGAAGAAAGGATTATAGTTTCACAGTAAACAAACAAGTTTGATTTTGTCATACCGCATGACACTTCCCGTTAAATTTATTACCCTGTCACATTGCTAGATGTCAATTTGGGACAGAGAATGTAAATTTGTGATAAATTAAAACATGTATTTTCTGTTTATTGATTTTAATTAGATCGAAATAATAATCCACATCATTAGGCACGTGATTGAGAACCTAATGGATCATACACATAATGAGAACTAGAAGAATGAGATTTACCAATTAATTATTAACAAGTGTTGGATAATTAATTAATTGGGTTGCTTATTAATATACCCGAATTAATTAACAGGTTTAATTAATTCATGGACTTAATTTAATTAAGTGGGTTAATTAAATATTGGACTGGGTTAACGAGATGGGCCAAGCCCGTTTGGACATATATTAAATAATTTGCTAGGGTTTTAATACTATAAAGATTTTCATTATTCTTGCTAACATTAGAAAAAGTAAAACCATGGTTCTCTCTCAATCTTGTTCTCTATGTAGATTTTCATTGAAGGCTAAATAATTGGACGGTTGGTGGTGACAGATCAAATTTGTTGGAATAATAGAAAAGCAAAAGAGTTTGCAGAATTCAACAAATGTATAATTTCTATCTAAATACAAAGCAGATCTTCGGTGAGAATTGAATTTTATTTTATTTTTCGCTATGCATAATTAAGTATATTTCCAATAGTCAAACTCCCTATTGCTATAGCAAAACCCTTTAGGTTTAGATTTTTTTAATTTTTCTTTTTAAATTAGAGTACTGTTTATCCTTAAATAATAATATAGCATCAATCATTTTGACAGCATTATTCTTTGGATTAACAATGCCAAACTATTCCAACTCACGTTCTAGACTAGCCTAATCATCAATGCGAGAATTAAATTAAGGGTCCATCAAGCTTATTCTTCCATATAATTAGATATATTGTACCTTGTAATGAACAAAGTAAAAAGCAAAAAACGATGGAGAACTCACTTCCTCTTAATCTTCGTCGTGTCAAAAAAACTAATCTAATCATAAACAGGCTGCATATTTTCACTCAAGGCTTTGCTCTTTTGGCCCTGATTTATTATAGAAACAAATTTTCTTTTCCAAATTATCAAAATCAGGGACAAAAACACACCACTTTTGCCCCATGCTTTAGTGTTTCTCTCTGAGCTTATACTCTCTTTTCTTTGGCTTTTGAGCCAGGCTTTTCAGTGGAACCCGATTTCCAGAAAAGTTTTTCCAGAAAGACTGCCTGGAAATGATAAACTTCCATCCATTGATGTGTTTATTTGCACTACAAATCCCATAAAAGAGCCTAGTGTAGATGTTATGAATACTCTTATCTCAGCAATGGCCCTGGACTATCCTGCTGATAAACTTCATGTGTATCTCTCGGATGATGGGGGTTCTTCTGTGACTTTCCAGGCAGTTAAAGAAGCCTGGAAATTCTTGAAATGGTGGATTCCATTTTGCAGGAAATACGAGGTGAGGACGAGGTGTCCCGTGGCTTATTTTTCAGCAGATGAAAGTGAGGACGGAAATGAAAAGTTTAGCAGCTCTGAATTTATTGCTGAGAAGAAGAAAATTGAGGTTGTGACATTTACTATGTTGTTACAATTTTCCATTTTTTTTTCCAGAGATCTGTCTGAAATATTGAGGTACTTTCCATGAGCTATCAGAAATAATGGTGCATTTGTGGTGCAGGAAAAGTATGAAGAGTTCAAGTGTAGAATACTGAAGATCATAGAAAATACGAGCAGTTTTACTAGCAGAGATCACGATCCTTTAATTCTGGTTTGTGCCGAATTCAGGTTTGTGCCGATTTTTACACAATCCAACTATATACTGTGTGTACTAGGTGTATCCTTTGTTAATGGGGCATTTTTTACACGAACTAATTATTAGACAGGATTTCATACAGAGTCATGGCTTCACAATTAGATTATGTCCATCGAATTGTTCTTACGTATGAAATTTTACTTTGCTAGGTGATTAACGTTGAAAATTGTGGAGTGGATTCAGATAAAACAGAGATGCCTCTCCCTGTTTACGTTTCTCGTGAGAAAAGGCCTTTTCAACCACATCATTTTAAAGCTGGAGCACTCAATGTCCTTGTATACAATTGTTTTTCCCGGAGAATCCATATCTTATTATTTGCGCTTGCTCATGTTTATTTCCTCATTTCTCTGCGTACTTACAAATATTTGATTATTCATGTATAATTTGCAGCTTCTTGTATCCGGTTTGATCAGCAATTCTCCATACATACTAGTGTTGGACTGTGATATGTACTGCAACGATCCGACATCAGCCCGCCAAGCAATGTGTTTCTTTCTTGATTCCAAAATATCCCCGAAACTTGGTTTTGTTCAGTTCCCACAGAAATTTCACAATATCAGCGAGAATGACATCTACGACAGTCAGTTGAGATTTGTTTGGGTATAATACTGAGACCTTTTCACTTTTCAGCAATGTGTTTATGGTAAATTTAGTTCCTATTTAATCCATTAATTTTATCTTTCGCCTCAACATTCAGCCGAAATTGGAAGGCACGGATGGGCTTAGGGGGTCTTTGTTAGCCGGTACCGGTTTTTACATAAAGAGGGAAGCGCTCTATCAAAGTTCCAACGTTCAAGAGGGTATATTGATTCATATGACTACTTTGAAAGAATTCTTATTTCAAATCGAAATCCATGTTTTTTTTTCCCTCTTAACAGAACCATAATCTGCATAGCTATTCAATAAAACTATACGCAGGTAATGATCTTGTACAGCTACAAAAGGCATTTGGTCCCTCCAATGATTTCATCAAATCACTTCAACAAAATTACAAACCAAATGCATTTAAGGATGAAGTGTTTTCTGAAGTATCGCTGAAAGAAATCAGATTTCTAGCCTCTTGCGGTTACGACAAAAACACAAAATGGGGCAAAGAGGTAAGAACAAGATTTCGAGAACAACTCATCTCCCCCTCTTTCAACCCATTATATCAAATAGGCTATTACGTATTATTGAGGTCGTGAAAGTTGATGCACTATGTGCAGGTGGGATTCAGATATTTTTCTGTGCTGGAAGACTACTTTACTGGCTTCAATTTACATTGCAATGGTTGGATTTCAGTTTATTTGAATCCAGCAAGGCCATGTTTCTTGGGTTCAGCTACTACAAATCTCAACGAGATTTTAGTTCAATACACAAGATGGGTAGCCGGATTTGTGGAAGTTGCTATCTCGAGGTTTTCTCCTCTTATATACGGGCCACTGAGAATGTCGACTCTTCAAAGCATGTGTTATGCAGTATTTGCCTATGATTTCTTAATCTTCTTGCCTATTTACTGTCTAGCCATTGTTCCTCAACTCTGTCTGCTTCATGGCATTCATCTCTATCCCAAGGTTCGTTTTGAAGCACTCTTCGTTGCAACACGCAAAAGACTTTAAGGCTTTTAGAGTATGTTAAGTATGCACAATTTATATCACACAGGACTCGACAGTAAACAACACTTTTAACTTATATATTCATTTAATAATATCGAATACTATCTAATCCAACTTACCAAACGTACCATCGTAGTATTGTAGATTCTGATGATAAGATTTTATATTAACCATACTTTGCTAACACTGGATTCCTTCATTTTTAAGGCGTCGAACCCGTTTTTCATTGTGTTTTCATTCCTATTCCTCTCATCTCAACTCAAACACATGCAAGAGATCTTTTTGACTGGACATTCGATACGAACATGGGCTATAGAACAGAGAATTTGGATGCTAAGGTCACTTACCTGTTACATGTATGGAACTTTAAATGGAATTTTGGAGATGATTGGTTTAAGAGAAGCCAGTTTCTCGCCGACAGATAAGGCAGTAAATGACGAACAACATAAACGTTATCAAATGGGAATCTACGATTTTCAGGCATCAGTTCTGTTATTAGCTCCATTGTGCACCTTATACATTCTAAATTTAGTAGCCTTCATAATTGGGGTCTTGAAGATTTTTCATATTGAGCAAGCGAGCGAGATGTTTATACAACTTTTCATCCCATTATTCGGCATATTGATCAATTATCCATTGCTTGAAGGGATGTTCTTGAGGAAGGATGACGGGAGAGTTGCACCATCTATTACACTTCTTTCTGCCGCCCTTTGTATTATTATTTCGTCTTTTGATGGATAACAATTTCAAAAACTAATTTCAAAAATATCCTAGAATTTGATGGATAACAATTTGGTCCAAAATTTTAAAATAGATTTCGTCTAAAAATTATATGTAAGACAATGACCCACCTGCACTATTCACGAACTGAATCAAATCAGACTGGGACTTTGACATGAGCTCGAACCCTAGCATGTGTCATGTTGAGTTGAGGCTGAGTAGGCTAAACAGACGAACGGCGGCGATGACACACATACACGTGGATTAGGATCGAGCCCAATAGAATATGGGTCTCTCATCATTCAAAAACTAGTGGTAACCCTACGGATCCAAATCCATTTGCTAAACTTCTAATATATGAACCACACAAAATTTTGAAAGTTTTCCACGTTGGATAAGTGCTTAACGATTTCCAATTACAATAATGCTCCACTTATTTGAAGTTTCAAGTGGATAACTTTGAAATCAAATATTTCATTCAATTTTGAATCGTTTTTCAATAAATAAATATATCACGTTAATCACATCTTGGAGTAGAACGTGAATATGCTTGATCCTATTAATATCAAAGTACGGGTCCCACTAAAATCGAAGCTCAATGTTGACCTATTTTACAACTTAATATTAAACAATTTACAACAATCTCTTTCCTAAAATGAAATATGATGGCTTTTCCAAAATAACAGCTGACGCAAAATTTCAAGTACAAATGAAGAGAACTTGCATCATGATAAAGCAGCCAGAGACTATGAACTATTTGTAATAAAATCTATCGAACTTATTGGGCCAATCATAGCAAGGTAATTTGAACAATAAGCCATTAGTGTAAACCCAATTAATAGAAGTCACTCAATTCCATTTGAGCACAATTAGTTTTCATTTTTGGTCCATTTTGGCCTTAGAACCTCCTGGTTTATTATTACTTTTAGAGAATTCAACTTCACATCATAGAATCGAACCTTCTCACCCGCATAGGTGATCTCCATAAAGATTGTTCTCACCTGCATAGAGATCATTAAAAGATTGACTTAACCTTATTTCATGGGTAGTAAATCACTATCTCATCGTAGGAATTGGTCGGAGAAATAAATTTTCCCAGTTAGTGCGTACTGATTTTTTTACAGTTCCATTGTCCTATTGAACTTGGTTCTTGGGATCTCTAGTTAACTAGGTAGAGTTGCATCATGAAAACTCTATTTCATTATATTGGTTTTGACCACATCCTATTTAATTTACTTTCAACTTGCTCTCTCATTAGACCTTTAGTTAGCGGATCTATAATGTTCTCTTCTAATTTTCATAATCTATAGAGATAATACAGTTAAGAGCAATTGTTTAACGATGTTATGTCTACGATGTATATGTTGAGATTTACTGTTACACATAACATTAGGTACTCTTTGAATTATCGATTGACTATCACAATGGATACATATAATAAGTACAGGTTTTACCCAATATGGAATATCTTTTAAAAAGTTTTGTAACCATTTGGCTTTATCCCAACTTAATCAAATGCAATGTTTTCGGGTTCCATTGTTGATCTAACTATACATGTTTGTTTTGAAAACTTCTATGATATTACAACACTTCTTCCAAGTGTGAAGACATATCCACTTGTAAACTTGGAGTCTTTAGTATATGATATCTAATTAGCACCACAATATCCTTTGAGCAGTACTAGATATCTTTAATAGTGCAATTCGATGTTTTTGGTAGTTTTATATATGCTTTAATAGTGCATCCATGATGTCTTTATAGAAATAATGTCATATTTCTTGTACTTAATTATCAAGAATTTTCTCAATATAGTGTGATTGAGAATGAGACCATCGGATAATTTAGAAATTTTAATACTTAATATAGTATTAGCGACACACAAATCCTTAATTTCAAACTTACTCGTTAACATCCTTTTAGTAATTTGATTTATGGTATCATTATTATCCATAATTTGCATGTCATCAATGTATAAACATATAATGACTTATCCATCATGATTACTATTGGCATATGTACCTTTGTCACACTTATTTATTTTAAAGCCATTAATTGACACTATAATCGTGTCAAATTTTTCATGTTATTTTTTAAGAGCCTGCTATAATCCTTAAAGCTATTTAACAAGTCGATAAACTTTCTTTTCTTGTCCTTACTGACAAATTCTTAATGTTGCTCCATATAAATTTCTTCATCTAATTTACCATTCCAAAAAGTTGTTTTAACATCTTTAATGTATATTCAAATTATTCAGCGCTGCAATTGCTATAAGCATACGCAGGGAAGTAATCCTTGTTACATGTGAATGTGTATTGAATAATCAAAACCTTCTTTCTTCTTGCAGCCTTCAGAGACAAGTCTAGTTTTGTACTTGCCAATTGATCTATCTGCATTCATTTTCTTTTTGAAAATTCATTTACACAATAATGGCTTATTATCTGGTGGAATGTCTACTAATTCTCATATATAATTTTATAATATGGATTCAATTTTATTGGGAACAATTTCTTTCCAATATGAAATTTCGATGGATTACATATCCTCTTTATAACTTCGGGATTTATTTTTTAAGAAATATGTTGGAAAATCAAGTCCAAAGGAGGTTGTTGTCCTAGACATCTTACTACATCTATGTCCTTCCTCGTTTATAGATTCTTGATTTATAACCACTTCATTTTAATGAGGTCTCTTTATTGAATTTAATTCACTTTGCATGTTATAAGAAAAAATATTTTTGAAATATGTAGCATCCCTCGATTCGGTAATCATAATAACATGTATATCGGGAATTTCAGACTTATGTTCAATAGATTTGTATGCACTACTGTGGTATGCATGACCAATGAATACACATTCAATAGATTTAGGTCATATCTTGACCTTTTTAGTTTAAAGAATCACTACCTTAGCCAAACATTCTCATAGTATTAAGTATTTTATAGTTAGGCTTATGACCTTTTCATGACTCATAAGGTATCTTATGTATTTTGCGATGTTGTAATTTATTGAAAATATAATTGACAGAGAGGAAGGCTTCCACCCACAAGTTCTACAGTAATCTGAAAGTTATCAACATAATGTTCACATTTCATCTAATGTTCGATTCTTGTGTTTAGCAATACCATTAAAATTGAGGGAAATAAGGTGCGGTAGTTTGATGAATAATTCCATGTTCCAAATAGAATTGTTCAAACATAAAATTATATTAACTTCCTCTATCGTTTCTTAATTATTACGTTAATCTTTCTGTTAAGCTGCTTTAAAGCTCTAACTTAAATGTTTTTAAACATTTCAATTATCTCATCTGTGCTTTTGAGTAAATGCATATAGCAATATTGAATGCAATTATCGATAAAAGTAATAAAATACTTTATACAATTTTTAATTTGAACAAACTTTAAATCACATACATTAGTACTTTTTTGATAGAACAAAAGGATAAACGAGCCATTTTCGCTTCCACAAAATATATAGTATTTATGATTAGGATCTAAATCATACTTTAGAGTAATAAATACAATTTGATTAGTCTATGAAAAGTAATAAAGTTTACATGTCCTAATTGTTATGTCAAATGTTAAACAACTCAAGTTTGTAAAAAGAAAATTTTATTTTATTCATAGTAAGAGGAGCAATAGTCATTGCATTTATTTTAAAGAGCCCCTCATTTAGGTAGCCCTATCCTATAGATATTGCATTCATAGTAAGTATAAGTTTGTGTGATACAAATACTAACTTAAAACTAATTATTTCTTAACAAGGAGCCAGACGTTGGGAATTTACTTAATCAAGCACAACTAAAAATAGAACAAATTTGAATTCCCACCAATGGATCTTTTTTGATAAATAAAGAATTATAACTTTGATAAATTATAACTATAATAAAGAATTATAACTTTGATAAATTCTGCAAATTCCTTTGCTGATCGTGGAACACGAACAATCACAATAAGCAATCTACAGATATTCAATTGTTCAGTTTCCAATGAAAATCTACATAAGAAACAAGAATGAGAGAATTAAGGTTTCCTTTTTTCCTGTGTTAGCACGATAATGAATTGTGTCTCTCAAACCCTAACAAGCTATTAATATAAGTCCAAGTGACTGGTCCCATCTTTTAATTTAATCCGGTCTAATAATTAATTAATCAAATTGATTAAATTTCATCCATGAATTAATTAATCCAATTAATGAATTCGGGGCCTAATGACAAGCAACCTAATTAATTAATTATCTAACATTTGTCAATTAATTAATGGGTAAATCTAATTCTTCTAGTTATCCTTTTGAATGGGACCCAATAGATTCTCAAATACAATGCTTAACGATATGAATTATAATTTTGATCTAATAAAAAATTGATAAATAAAAATATTCATTTTAATTTATTACTAATTCATGCTGTCCTAGGTTAACATCTAACAATATGTCGGGACAATGCATGTGAGGAAAAATGTTACTTGGTATGGCAAAACTAAGCTTGTTCGTTGCCCATGAAATTATAATCATTTCATCTATATGATCGATCAATTACGAGATATGGATGTGTCAATCTCAATTATCGATCATATCTTTTATTTCACTATTAAGTCAATATAAGTCGAAAAATCCCTTTTGACCTATGAGTACACGTTGACCATAGATTTCATTGTCAACTTAACGAATGAAATGTAGATCCTAATTTTTTACTATCTAAGAGTGATGAATCATCTATTAATCATTGACAACCTTCATACAATTTTTGACATTCTCGATCGATGCCATATTAGTAGCCTTTGACATAGCACATCTCACGTCACCAAACTATGACTTTCCTCATATAAGGAGTTATAATGACTTCAAGTCAAAGGGCCAATTCCACTACTGAATGCTATAGATTAACTACTGACGCTCAGATAGTTATCACTGTAGAATTTACCCATTGGTCTCCAATATTTTGACAAAATATCAACATATCCATTTAAGTGTTAGTACACATTAACATGCGAGATCAACTACGTACTTCACAAGTAAGAAATGCC